TATCATCTCTGTGCGGATTTGCCACTGCGTCACTAATCCAGTGCACCAAAATCTGAATTCCCCCCCCAGCTCATCACAAACACACGCAGAATGATGAAGCACACTAACATGATTATGTAGGAGCCTGGACACGAAAAACATATCGCATTCATTGTCTGCAATTGCCCATTGTTTGCCAAAAGATGAGCCAAGCCGACCACAATGTAACGCACTGATGAACGTAAAGCCAATGTTGCTGGATCCCAAAATAATGTATTACACAGAAAACAGCAACAGTCTGACTCAGAGAGAGAAGAGCTCAGCTGGAGAAGAGCAGAAAATTAGCTTTAATAGCAAAGCCATAATCTCAGATAAGGCTTGTGAGCGCAACCTCGAAAATACCACCAGGGTTTCAATTACCCCCACAGCGGGTTCTCATTCAGCGCTGTCCTATGAGCCGGCAGGCTGGCAGCTGGATAGAAGTCAGGCAAATGGAAGCAATTTAAGAAATGGTATGCAGATAAATAACCAAACTGACTGATCACTATCAGTTACAACCTGAGGTAGAACATAAAGCAATATAGAGTCGACTGTTGAAGACGTACGTAAACAGGCACCGAGTACAGACCATTGCAACAGTCCAGCAGAGGAAGCAACGAATAAAACGTAACATTGGAAAACATAACAGCAAACTACAGCAAAGACGGGGCAGAGAACCACTCCATTGCATTCTTGTCGTGCATTATCTTTCTTTGATTTCATGTTTAAATCCACACGTGCCAATTTAAAAAGTTGAAAATGTACTCCACACCAGTACAGCATATCAGCTGAGCAGATGTTGGAGCGTAAAACAGTGAAGTGAAAGTAGTGAATAAACTGTGATGGGTCTGGACTGATGGCTCTGTTGATAGTAGTAGTGGTTTAAACACTAGCACTGATTTACAGTGTAATTAAGCTCAATTTGAATGACTCAGAGGGCTCATTTACTGCCTTTATTAAACAGTGATGGCGAGCAGACACTTCCCCTGTCTTTTATCAGAGCATTCTCCAAAGCTCATTACTCAGGATCTGATCAAGGAAGCGGTGAGAGTAATTCAACTGCTGCCCACGTGCAGAATAGACATTCTCAGTTCTTTAGCCAGCGAATGGGTAATTAATTGCAGAAGAAACAGCATGGTGATTTATGAGGCAGAGGAGACTCTGCTCCGTGTAGTCTGAAAACAAATGTGAGAAGGAATCGTTCGTAGCTGTATGTGAGATTTGTTTTAGGAGGTACTGAAGATTAGTTTTGCCTGTATATCCATTCATCAGATATACCCGGTTTAATTTCCTCAACAATATGAATTTTTTCGTATATAGCCACACCGGTGAATAGCGTGCCGATTCCTATTTACGTTAATTTAAATTATAGTGTTCATACATGTATTTTAAAACATTTTGTTTTGAAAAGAAGCAATGTTAAAGTTGTTGGCATATCTAACTTATTTATTTAAAAGTTGTTGTTTTTTTTTTTACTACGTTGCAGTGTGCACAAAAAATGGCTTATTCTGCAACTGTTTTATGCATTCTGATAACTGATAGCATATAATATGCAGTCTTCATATATTGTACAATGTATTTTGTGGGGGGTAAGCTACCGTATAGTAATTAAAGTCTTAAGTATATACATATTGACATTTAAATGTTTTTTAAATATATATTCTAAGTAGTCCTGGCAGTATAATAAGCACTATTAAACCTATTAAAAGGCCCAGTCATGCAGACAAATAAATAAATAAATAAATAAATAAATAAAGTACAGATGCTCAATAACAATTCCAGAGGCCAAAACAAAATCGTTCTGAATTAGACAGACTCTCTGAGAACTGGCAGATCATCTCAGTGAGCATCTTTCTCTCCATCTGGTGTGAGAGAGTCAGGTCTAAGTAACAGGCTTCTCGCTAGTCCGAACACAGAGTGTCCACTCTGGGGACGTAACGATCTTGGGTGTGAGCCTGGCGTCTCAGTATGCGGGGACACAAACAAACATATGGAAACCCCCAGGGACTGACCTTACACTGACTGGCTGATGTCCCCTCAATCGAAACAAGCGTCTGTCTCCTAAGCAGGTTCCGATCACGAAGAATGTCAGCATGTGGGTTTGTGTATGTCCTGTGTTACTCTGGCCTCTCTCTACTATTAAAAGTGATTGTGACAATCAAATCCCCCCCCCATCAAACTGTGTCATATGTTTAACAAATAGCATTCATAGTTAGTATGAATGTAACATTATAGAGTTATAAGTCTCACCAACTTATGCACAAAAAGAACAGAAAGAAATATGCAACAGAATACTCCGAACCTTGCATATTGTTGGCATTAAGGAAGAGAGTGCTGCAGCTATTTCTTAGTTACATGTTTTTGTAATAGTCAACTGAACTGCATTACTACCATGAAGACATCATCATGACGCCGTCTCCAATTTTGTTTCCTCAGCAGTGCAATAATGTAATCACCTCCTGAAGACTTGTAGATTGTTGGTAATGAAATTCCTGATCTGTGTGTGCAACAAAACCCGTCCGCTTCACTAACGGACTCGTATTTATCTGTGCCCGGACGCATTAAACCTCTCAGGCTATAAGATTGCCTCATTTTCGTCTCAGGATGCCTAAAGATGAGTTGTAGATTTAGTCACTATCACGATTTCTTAGGATGTTGTAAGGGAAGCCGTTTGATCTCCACGCGTTTAGCCGGAGCTACTTGAGTAATCCTTTAAGCTTTGCTAGAACATCCTTAGTAACCACTTTCCAAAGCACATTTGAAGAAACTCATATCAGTCTCTTTCAGGTGAACACGACTGGACCAACTGGACAGCTGTTATAGCTACTGTCAATAACGTAACCTTCGTGTTTGGACTCGCAACTTTGTTGGAAGCTATAGCCGAACTGCCTCATATATTAACGTTTGCCATGTGGTTTTGTTGAAACTCACCAGTTTTGTCGACTCCTGCCATGTTTGGCTATCTCCTTTCTTGCGGTCACAGTAACGTTTGAAACTTGAGGTAGTTTATTATGCAACTGGGCACTAAAGAGGAGCCTGTTTCCCTCATGCTGCAATGGCATTGAAGGAGATTCATATTTGTGACTCTTATGATGTGTCAGCAATGCATACAATATAACCCGGACTCTCAGGCACTAAATGGATTACATATTACTCATCATAAATCCGGTATACTGACTCTGTGAGATGAAGATATGTTTCTATCATGCATCCAATTTTCATAGAAGCCCATAGCAGTAATTTGCATAACAAGATGACGGCACCACTGAAAGATATATTGACCACATGTCATCGGTTGCTGCTGCGTTGAATTAGGAAAGAAGAGAAAGTGGTTTTTTTTCCCCTTTTACTTTGTTTGCATTAGAAAATAGTTTCCATCACCAGTTTTTCAAACTCTTCTGAGATAATCTCTCTCTCACACACACACAATACGGGTAATGACTATGAGTTATGTGTCTTTGTATGTGTGGGCATGCTGCAACAATGAATAGATTACAAATGTTAATTTGTCAAGTCCATGACGGATCAATAGATTAGGTTGAACCCCATAATTATCACAACAGATGTGAAAGCCTTTAGCTGGCCACAGAGGACACCGGTGTCTTCTATCACCATCGGAGCAAAGCAAAGAAGAAGAGCCAATCAGCCTCAGGACGCGTTGTGATAAAGCGGCATCCTGGTAATTATAAACATGAAACTCACAGAAACGAAGTGGGACGACAGAGCAAGATCAGGATCAGGGGCAGGATCTATAGACTTCAGGAGAGGCTGTTCAAGACTCTCTGGGGTACAGATTTCATCCTCGCCCAATCTAAGAACGCAACAATGAGCTTGGCTGGACTGCAGTGAATGATTGTATCTTCACAAACAGCTGACTAAGACACATTTAATGGTGGCGCAGTATAGTGACTCTTTGAACCACACTTATTCACCCTTTAGGTGGGAGCCGATGTCACGTCATAAACTGGGTTAAATGGTGTGTAAAACCTTACAGTCTCAGTCTCAATAAAACACTTGCTGGAGCATCTGTTGTTTAGGTCCAGGCGTGAAACATTTAAAAAGGTAGGACTGAAGCAGATAAAGGAGAGACAGGGGCGGGACAAAGCAGAAATCTAAGAAACACAGTCACAACTCAGTTGAGCGCTGAACATTTGAAAAATACTGTATCTTATTTTGCATCCTAAAATGTCAAAACTCAGCAGCAATCCTTGATGGTGGTGCTGTTTCTGTGTCACTGTGACCTGCGGGCAACTTCAGCCAGCAGCAGACGCTTCTCTCCCTCATCCGTTCTTCACCCCGACCCGTCTCCAAACAGAAACACTGTGTGTGTGAAAGTGTCTCTACAGACGAAAGGCGACCAGAAATTAGGTCATTTAGCCCTGAGACGGAGCGCATGCATCAATTACATGCACTCAAAAATAAGGAGTGCAAAGGTAACAACACAAAAGTCATGTTAATATATATACGACCATGTGGCCGATAAAAACACAATGTTGTTTAAAGGAGAGGAGACAGAATAATAGCTGTGAACACATGTAGTAGAAAGCAATTTGCGTCCACACACATTACTTATCACCACTTACAAAGCATGCAATCACAATCCAGACACTCAAAGGAAAACAGATGCACGATTTGTCCATTGGTACCAATCTGCTGCTGCTAGCTGTACACAGTCTCCTAAACTGCATGACTTCCCTTGAACACATAAGAGCTTTTTAGGCTAAAAGAGAGACAACAGCAGCTCCACCCGGTGGTTGCTCTTTGACCCCGCACCTCGGTTACACGGGGCTCAATACGTCCTTTGGTGCAAAATGACAAACGCATCACTGACAACTTTGCAAGATTACGGGTTGATAGTAAACACAACGTGCGCACCTGCGATCCTGTGGCTGTTAGCCACGCATTTGTGATGGAAGAGCAGCCAATCAGCAGACAACAGAGGGATGCAAAACACGAGGAAACCCAAGAAAAACTTCACCTACCTCCTCCACTGTGAGGGGCATGCAGATGCGGTACTCCTTCATCAACATAGTCCTTTGTACGACGTGTGATGGCAACGCAGAGGAAGGCGTAGTAGGTCGTCGGGCTTCGGTCTGGAGTGCGATGCTGCAAGTCAGTTATTTCATTGAAATGATTTGTCCAGAGAAACGAGGCAACGGAGTTCCACAAATTCACTAAATCCTTCCTCACTCTGAAACGCGCTATGCCTACGTGAGTCTCTACACAACCAGGTCCGAAGTACAAGGGGGTCTTTTAAGGGTTAATTTTACCCTGCAGTCGCCAGTTTGTAGAAACTAATCCAACAGCATCAATTTGGGTTTTTTTCGGGTAACGTCTGCAGTGTGGAAAGTGTACCGAAATCACACCAAACTCCCCAAACAAGTCGCTTTAAACTACCGCAGCTTGAAGCAGCTACTTGTAACCGGACGAGGATTGATCCTGTCGTCGTCGCAAACACTCTTCATTTAACCGTGTGCACGTTAAAAAGGAGCTCCTCGCGTGCACCAGTGTGTCTCCTGCTCCTTCGACAGAGCTCCGCTCAGAGATGCGCAGCAGCAGCAGCCGCCGCCGCGTGGATACGCTGCGTCAAGTGAGAGAGAGAGAGAGAGAGAGAGAGAGAGAGAGAGAGAGAGAGAGAGAGAGAGAGAGAGAGAGAGAGAGAGCAGTGTGCAGGAAACACGAGGATGCCACTGTACAGGTTCCCTATTAGAAACGATGAAACCTTTGAGCTATTGTATAACAAATACAAGTAATGTTAAAAGTCTTATTGCTCATTTGTTTTTGTTTTTTTTAGCAGCTGTTCAATATTGGCCGTTTGCGTTAAGCATTCGGTCAGATCTTATTGTCATGTAGGGTCGGAACGGAAGTCCTTCGTGTTTTTGTAGCTCGTTTAACTTTCCCTCCACAGGCTCACAGCTTCAGGATTTCAAGCATCTTTACATTTTTTTAAATTTCAGTTTTCAAAAAAAAAAAAAAAGGATGAAAACTTTTATGTCAGATAAGTGAACCGATGTTTAACCCTTCGTGTGATGTATTGCATTTGTATCTGACAAAGCCTTGGTCTAGGTAAGCTCATGACATGTGGTAACTGTGTGCAGCACTAACTATGTTTCATTATTATATATCTGTGATACAGTTTGTTTGTTTCATTTCTGTATTGGCATCAATTAAACAGAACCCCTTTATTTGACTTAAGAGAACCATATGGTTCATATATATAGGTTAAGATGATAAACACATCACATATAATATAATATAGGATAGGATAATAGGATTATACATGAGACGTCTATATACAGGCTCATTATGTCTTGGTTCTGACCCGGGACTTGTAGTTTTAGAGCTGACCTTGGTTCTGAACTGGAGCTGACCATGGTTCTGAATTTAGACAAGATTAAAAATGTGCTGTTTGAGTAAAAGTTTTCCACATAACTTGAGCCAGCTGTGTGATGATTGAAAACAAAACGTTTCCTCTCATGTCTCTAAATATAATTTAATGCCACTTTCAAATAAGTCAACCTTTAAAACTGGTTTATACATTATAACCAATGCTTTATTAATGTCGAATAAAATATTTGATAATTCTGTCTAGATCCTGTATAAGTAATGAAGAATAACTTTGCGGATGCCTTATACTTTATACTTCTGCAAACAGAGCAGAGCACTATAACATGCAGTACTCTTTTCAAACGGCAGAGGTCGCCAGAGACCGTAATGTTAGTCAGACTACATTTCAATTTAAATTTTTGGAACATATTATAATAACTATCATTAATATATGGTAAATTGACTTAACTTAAGGTGATAGTTATTTTACTGATAATAAACTAATGATTATTAATTAATGCTATAATTCATTTTTATTCAATAGCAAATGTAGTTACTTGATATGTGTTATTTACTGCAGGGAGGGTCCACAGCATCTGTATGTTTTAGTATGTTTCGGACCTTTTCCCCCTAAGATTATAAACAATATGGCATATGGAGTTTGAGTACCAGCAGTAGGCTAGTTTCTAAGGTTGGTTCTTTTTTTCAGGTCATGGCAACTAAATTAAGAATCAGTCAAACTGTCTCTCATCAGTTTTGCATAAATCAAGCAACAGTGGAGTGTCAGTGTTGTGTGAAATCAACTTTCCCCCTCTTTGCTGCACAGGAAGGAAACAGAAGTTCTTACGTCTGAACTCAAGAGGGTGCAATCTACTCGCATGTGTATCTGAAATACATTTCCCACACTGTCAATGTCACAGAGCAAGACAGTGCAGAGGCACCAGCACAGATTTATTGTGTTCGTGGAGAGTGCATTAACATCTGAGTGTGCATACAACCACACATATGAAGGCCATGATGTGTGATCCAAACAGAAACTCTCTCACCATTATCACACACACACACACACCACTGTCAAACTTTCTGGGATCAAGTTAAAATTGGACTGAGCAGCTGAAAACAAACTGGTGATGTAATAATAAATAATATAAACATTATCATACGTACATATATATTTTAACTTTAGCACATACTGTTGTTTTGGTTAAACCCAGAGTGTGTGAATTAAAGAGTGAATTTAATCCGGTATGGTCACAAAACATGCACTCACTGTATGCATGCAGTGCACACACTCACACCGTCACACACAGATTAGTTCAAGGGTCGATGCACTCTGTTACAGTTACAATCTGAAATCTCTTCAACGTACTGTTCTCCAGCTGAATTCATTATATGCCCACACACAAGGCAAACTCTAACACACACACACACACACACACACACACACACAAAACAGAGGCCTTTTTTTTTTTGTCCGAATGCCATAAGACATTATGCCAAGCTTTTTGTGGTGCCATAATGACACCTGCTACAGTTAGGCAGACACACATGTCTGCTCACACACACACACACACACACACACACACACACACACACACCAGACAGTGTAGGCGGAGAGGACGAAACTGTTGCTAAGAGACCTGGCTTCCTCGCCTCTTGCCGCTCAACATCATTAGTTGGCCTTTACTGTCACTTTCCTAACCTCTCAGCCCATCAGTCCACTGTTACTGTGGAGAAGGGAGCTTGTTTCTCCCGTTGCCCAATAGTGGGGGTCGGGCTGGTGACAAAACTAATAAGGGCTTTATTGGAGCCATCGCTCTGGGGAAGAAAACACTGGTGCTAGATGGGCGTCACAGTCCGTCTTAATCATTGCATTACATCCAGGTGAATGGAGGGGGAGGGGGTCTCGGGGAGACGGAGGTGCGGTTCTTTTAAGCTTCATTTGTATTAACAGGGAATGTCTAGTTTGGCATGATTGAATTCATGAAAAGTTCAACATGGAGCTACTGCTTTTCAAAATTGGGCTCTGCAGTGTGCGCATCAAGGATTTTGGCTCAGCTTAAAACTCTGACTTCTGATCCTCCTGCTTGGTAGAGAAGCCGTCCGTGGGCTGTTCTGCTTCTCATCTTATTCTGCTCTCGCTGGGAAACACATTCGAGGACAGTAAAAAAAATCTGGAGAAGCTGTGCTCATACACATTTTAGTGTAATTTTAGTTAAGTTATCTAATGTTGTTGTTTGCGATCCATCTCAAATCAGCAGGAGAAATCAGCCATCAGCATGCGTCCATGTCATGTATGAACAAGGTGTCAATGCCTGAACTGGACCTCTGCAGAGCCTTGAATGGAAGCCAGGTCATTAATGAGAGGCGAGGAAGTGGCTGGAGGGTGTGTGAGGTGAATATATGCGACTGCTGCCCATCAGCATATGATACACGCATGTATACACACACACACACACACACACACACGCACACACACACATCCCACACTGTATATAATCACGAGCTTCAGTACACTTGTTTCAATATAGGTGTGCTGACGTGTGTCACCAGTGAGGTGGTAATTGAGAGTTGAGTGGTGACATTAACGGTGAGAGCAATTTTGAAGACAGAACACCTTATGAGGGATGTTATGAGGTAACGTTGAGATAAACTGCTGTGTGTCTCCACTGCTTGGCTGGAACAAAGCAGCACTTTCTGCAGTAGCACTTCTTCTCTGCTCCCTTTGGCTTGATGTTAAAAAGGGACTAAAGAGACTTTGATTGGTACTTTGAAGTACATACTGTAGTGTAGTGTAGGTTACTCAAATATTCTAAGTACGAGTTGGGCACCAGACAGGAGAGTAGTCAAAATCATACACCCGTCACTTTAAAAATGTGGATATAAGCCAGTTTAAGAAATACACGGATTGCAAAAATAAGAGGGTCCAAGGAGGCAGTAAGCAGGGTAAAGGGCAGCGCAAAATTAGAGTTAATTATTTGGATTACGATTGAGGATGGAGTAATGCTTTCTGTAGGTCCAACAAAGACAAGGAAGTCCACAGCTACGTCCAAGCAGGTTAAAAAGAGATAGAACAAGACTGTTGCCCACGAAAACCATTAAATCCAGTCGGTTCTTGAAACGACCGCCACTCTGTTTACTTGTGAGCGAAGATATCAAGCAACTGAATGAAGACTTTGCTGTATCTCCTTTAGCTCTCACTCACAGGTGCGTCTGATTTATGTCTTCACCTTCCTTTCCTGTCGAGGACCTACACCACATTCTAATAAATATAGAAATCAAGGGATGTCTAACCAAAAGTATAACAAGCATCTTCTTATGAGGAAAGCAGCAGGATAGCTATTTCTCCCCCCCCCCCCCCCCCGAGTTGAAACGTTTTCTTCAGGGCAGCTGTGTTGATTTAACATAAATACACAATGATTGCTGTGGGAAGGAGCCGTAGAGCGCTTGTTCACAATCACAAACAAGACAACAGAAGACAACAAGCGTCACGAGAGCGCAGCATCCTCGCCCTCATCTGTGGGTGATTTTACAAACTGAAGATGAGATTTTTACCAGCACGTCGCTCTCAAATGGCTCATCTTCTTTTGCCACACGTGCTCTCGCCCCTCTCGCATATCAATCATGCAGATGCAACCTTTTAGGACGAGGATCGACGCATTGTTGTCGAGACTGTTTCCATGGATACACTGAAATCCAATCCGCTTCTCAGCGTTTCCTGCTGGTCTGAAACCCAAACATGTAGGGTGCTTCCAAAAAAAAAAGAATTTACCAATCGTATATGAGCCAGGCACCCATAATGTGCCTTTTTTTTTCATCCAGGTAATTTCAAATTTCTTGTGGGTCAGACAGCCATCGAGGTGTAACGCTCATTTCATTTAGAAGCCCGAGATTGTCTCTTGCATAATGTATAATGAAATCTGAACTTATTGCCAGTGCAGAGATATTGCTGTGGGAGATGTGGCATCTTTCTTTTTCATCTCGGGGCTCAGCTTGCATTTCTCCTCTAAGATTAAACGACAACTGCTCAATATCACAGCTATTAGGGTGTGATGTCGGAGGAGAGTGCTTTGAGACGTGTGCGCATATATGAGTCTGTCTCCTCGTGTGTATGTGCACATATATGTGCTTGGGCACATGACCAGAATGTGCAACATGTTTTTGTTTTGCCACAGTGGATGCGGTGCATTTCAGCTACTGCCTCCATGTCACTATGGAGACACTGGTTGCTGTACATCAGCCAATCAGTG